TCTGGACGATATTGGTTCAAGTTGAGTATCCTGTGGGAAATTGCTCCGTAGCGTTTTCACTATTTATCTTTACACTATTTTTTTCGGTAAAAAGGAAAGGTAGGTGAGTTGGTGTCTTGAGAAAAATGATAAAAATAAAGCATATTTTCACACCAAAAGTGTTGGCATTTTTGTTTTAATTATTTCTCCCGTAGTGGTGTGGCCGGGGAGACTGGTACTAGGGTATGCCCAAAAAGACTGGTACTAGGGTAGCCGCCATCTTGTTTCACGTAAGCGGTGTTTACAGTTTGACTAGAAGTGGATTCTATTACATTTCAAAGGAGTTTGACAGTCTAGCAGGCATGTCTGAGGACTCAGAAATTCCAAAGACGTGTGCAAGAAGGGAAATGTATTGCATGATTCATTGTAGTGACAATGACGGAGCGCTCATAAGCCTGAATTCTGTGGAATCATGGAGAACACGGAGATGGGCTGCAGAGTTGAGACATCACGAGGATATTCTTGAATACAGGTAAATTCACCAGATGAAATTCCTGAAGTCTATTATTATAGAAAGTGTAGAAACATTTTCACTATGAATAGAGATCTTGAAAAACTCATTTCTGATGAAAAAAAGGAGAGTAAGAAAGATAAGGAGCTGACTACTGATGGGGATGGCCAGCGAAGGGCATCCACAAGAGGTCAGCTGAGTACCTCGAGGGTTTATGAAAAGATCTGCATGTTTTGTGAAAAGAAAGACAAATACAAAAAGGGTTCAAAGACCAGAGAGAGCTTGACACAAGCTAGACAGCTTAGAACAGATATTTCAGTGAGAAATTTGGCAGAGCTCAAAATGGATTCACGTGTATTAGCTCTTCTTTCCTGTGAACTAACAGCGGCTGAGGCTCATTTCCACCACTCTTGTTATCGACAGGACACGAATGTCAGTAGCACCAGTGCTGAAGTTTCCAAACAAAATGAAAATACAATGAATGAGCCCTATGGTAATGCTGAGGCGGCGGCCTTAGTCAGATAGTTCAGTTATATCAGAAATGATATTCTTGTTAATAAGAGTATCATAGAGCTTTCAAAACTTAACGAGAGACTTAAGGCATTCATGTTAGATAGCAGAATCGAGGAATTAAAGGCATCTACTAGCAAACACCTCAGGCGAAAGTTAGAAAACGAGTTTAAAGACACATCACACATGATTCAAACAGAATCCAACAAGGTAGCGGTTTATCCAGACAACCTTACAAGAGATGAACTTGTCCTGATTTGCTTTAACCTGGAGAAAGAAGTTACTCTGTTGAGGCATTGTCCTAGAGAAGTATGCGTCACAGAGGTTGCTTGCATGGCTACAAAGGTGCGCCAATCAGTCAAAGACCACTTTAGTGACCAGCAAGAATGGCCTCCAAATGTCTCAAGCCTTCAGGGAGGTAACACTGAAGTTCCTGAGGTTGTTGACACGTTCCTGCACCATCTATTTAGTGGCAGTGATTCACCCCTCACGGACAGGACGACATGGCCCAAGCGCTCTGTTGCCCAAGACTTAGTGTTTGCAATAACGAGAGGCCGTTTTAAGGCAGCAAAACACAGTCTTCTCCCGTCAGCAGTGAAATCACTCACTGGGAACATCAAACTAATCCAGCTACTCGATCGCTTGGGGCACGGCATTGCATATTCTCAGCTTGAAGAGCTGAATTTGTCCCTCTGTTTACAGAAGTTATGTATGGCCGAGCAAACCAGCTTTCCCCTGCCAGGTAACATCCTCAAGCACACAGATACAGTCCTTGCATTTGATAATATCGATCGTATTTGCGAGGATGATAATAGCCGAAAGTCGTCAATTGCACATGCAGGAGGTATTACAACATCCCCTTGGCCCACTACCATCTTCCTTGGCAACGAGTAATGGCTTGTGGCACAAAACTAACAAGGCACAGCCTGGCAGGGAGCTGGAGAAACTAGTTCAACCAACATCAGAAATACCAAGCCCTTCTGTATTCGTGATTGATGGCTTTGGTCAAATCGCAGACGCTGCACTGTCACGTGTTTTACAAGAGGGAGGAAACAGCAGACACACAGATGTAGTTTTTCATGTATACAATGAGATAAGTATAAAGTCTGCAGAGCGAGAATAGAGAGAAGAAGGAGAATTGGTGACATACAAGAATCTCACAGCCGGGCAAAAAATAAAACAGTTCAGGAACTTTCTGCGAAATGGCCAAAACAAGAATAGCTTAATTAAGTTTTTTAAAGACTACTGGAGAAAGCCCCCAAGTTGAGAGAAGCTTGCCAACAAAGAGCTCTACACAACATGTGGCACCAAATGCTACAAACTAACGGTGGATGCTGTGCAGGAAGTAATCGAACACTCATCTGGACAAGAAGCCGACACTCGTCTCCTGCTGCACATGAAACATGCTGCAACACTGCATGTGAAGGCAGTTATCATTTCATCCGAGGATACGGATGTGCGCACACTATGCATTTTCGTTCTCTATTTGTCAGAGATGCGTTTTGCAACACCAAGCCAGGTATGTTGACATCAGTAAGATAGCTGGTGTACTTGGACAGGAAGTTTCCAAGGCACTTCTTGGACTTCATGCCTTTACGGGCAGTGATAGTGTGAGCGCTTTCGCGGGCATCGGAAAGGCTAGGCCACTCAAATTGCTCTGCTGCAGCAAGAACGAGTTCCAAGTCATGTTTCAAAACCTGGGGGAACAGTGGTCTATTATAGAGGAACTGTGTGTCCAGCTTGAGTTGTTTGTGTGTGCTATGTACGGGATGAAGAAAGGCAATGAGGATGTCAATCAGTGCCGGTACGCAGTGTTTTGCTGAAAAAAGGTGAGGCTGAATCACATCAACTACCACCTTGTCGCGACTGCATACACCATCACTGCAAGAGAGCCGATTACCAGACTGCAGTCTGGAAGAATGCACTCACCAACAACCAAGTTCAAAATCTGGCTGGCAAGGGATGGGCTCTAGAAAGTGACGAGGGCAGTCAACGGCTGGATATAGTATGGATGAGTGGG